GGACCCGGCCCCGCCACGCACACGGACCCGCCACACGGACCCGCCACACACACAGACCTGGCCCCGCTGAGCACACGGACTCGCCACGCACACAGCCCCCAATACGGACCCGGCTCCGCCGCGCACACATCCCCACAGCTCCCCACACACCCGCCCCACCATGGGTTCTGCACTGCCCTGTGCTCAGAGTGGAGACCTGGCGTCCCTCCGGAGCCTGCGGGATGCCCCACGCTGCGGGAGCGTTGCTGGAGCGATGCGAGTCGCGTCACTCCTTGGGGCACCCGTTTTGGGCACTGGTAGCTCGGCATCCTGCTCCGAGCGTTCCTGCACCGCCGCAGGAGCCCGTCGTGCTCAGCCTCCCTGCAGGACATGTCCCTCCCGGGGCTGGAAAGGCCGAGCGGGCCTTCCCGGCACAGCCAGCTTCCCTGGCCCGAGCCATGTGGAGCAAGGGTCCCTTTGGAGCCCTCCTTTGGAGTCCTCCTTTGGAGCTCTCCTTTCGTACTCTCCTCTGAGCCCTCTTTTAGAGCCCTCCTTCAGAGCCCTCCTTTGGAGCTCTCCATAGAGAGGTGGGATAGAGGCATGTGGGAGCTGGCTGGTTTGAATCCACCAGCAAGAGGGTGGGGAAGGAGGGTGAGGTGGAACCAAGAGATAAGGAGCTGCGGAGGAAGCAGCCTCTGCTGCGCACTGGATTTGCTCGCGGTCACGTCGGGTGGAAGAGCATCGTGTCTGATCACATAGACTGCCCGTGTGCAGGGCGGCTGCGCTGGTTTGGCTCTGCGTTTCGAGGGCACCRAGGGTAATGGTCTCTGCCCCCAGAAGGGGAGCAGACCATGCGCTAGACCCACGCTTGGGCGGCAGGGAGACACTGCATCTGCTTTTGAAAGCTCCTCAAGCTTGGCAGCATCACACAGAGCTGCTTAAGGCCTTTTCAGAAACTGMGGACTAACGTTTTGTTAATCTGTATTTGATTGTAGAAACTTAGAACAAAATACAAAATACCTCTCCATCTGTCTGCTTTGGGATGGACTGTGAGGCAAATGATACTTTAGAAAAACTTAGGTGTTTCAGAAATGTGCCTTGATTCCACCTATACCGTACCTTTTTTTTACCTGCTTTAGCCTAACTGGGCAGGTCTCGTAGTGACTACTCTTTGATGGGCATCTACCCATGCTACCAGCTCCCTGCAYAGTTTTATGATGACCTGGATCTAGTGAGGTGCTAGAGGCAGTTCATTGATTTTTATGTATCRGTATCCACGTATTGTGTGGGTTGCAAGACCAAGGTGTGTCCCTGCATCAGATTTTTGTAACTGAGGAGTTGCAATCCTGGAAGTCATCCGTAAGGACGAGAAGGAACCAGGGCACATTTTTCTTTTAACCTCGATAGGTACAAGGCAGGCAACACCAACAAGAAGTTCTTCACCTACTAGTTCTTCACATACAGACACATTTCTCCTATCGTTGCTTTGCCTTCCTCAGTTCTTGAGCTTCCTGTGCTGATATATTGTTCATTGTGCCCTTTGCAATTGGAAGCAGAGTTAAATGTATTCCATAAAACATGTTTTGTGAGTTGCCTAAAGATTGAAGGTGAGATTCCCACTGGAGCTTGCTATTTCAGCCTTGGTAGAAGCTGGTTTGCAGTCATGCGGTGCCTGCAGTCCGGTAGCAGCTTCCAAGAGGTGCTTGGAGCCGGGATTCGGCGCCCAGGGCACTGCTGTGACAGGAAGTGTCCGATGTGATGCAGGAAGGAATTTGAGAATCCTAAAAGCAAAAAAAGCCCACAAAATTCCCATTGACTGGTTCTGTTCTGGGATTTCCCAGTGCTTTAGACAGAAAGGAGGCTGCAAATTTCCTAAAGGCTCCATTTCTCATTTCCTCCCGCCCTCTGGGCTTGCTCAGTAGCTGTGATGCCAGGATGAACTCTGCCGAGGATTATTTAAAACTGGCTTTAAGTTCATCACAAGATGGGGAACAAAGTAAGCTGCTTATGACCCTTATCTTTCACAATTGTTAGCACCATTTGGAGAGACTTACATGGTGCACTTTCATTAAAGCAATAATGTATTTAGATTTGGGCTAAGAGCAACAACTGCCAGACAACCAGCAGTAATGGCAGTAGTTTCAGAAAGCTTTTTTGTTTATTTGYTTGTTTTAAAAAGTTTTCAGCWGTGTGTTATTCCCTTGGACATATTACTCCTCCTCTCTGTACGTGTATATCACTCTATCTCAAGCTAACTTAAAAAACTAAAGTCTGTATTCATGTCTGTATCTGGTAATATTTGCCTGTGTTAAAAATCTGTGTGGGATGAAAGAAAAGCACCACTTCTTTGGAAGACATACAGTGAAATGAAAACAATACTTGAAAGCTCTAGTCAAGCATCTGTGCAGAGATCTTAAACACGTCGCTGCAGTTTCCATAAGACACTACAAAGCGTTAGTAATAAGAAGTGTTTTGCAGCTCTACACCAAGGCTGTGACAAGAATCATTCTGTGAATGGAGGTTCATGGCATAAATGTGCAAACTGTAACTCTATGCAAGATAAAAGCCTAGTCAGTGCTTACTGACTTGCTTTTACATTTAATTGCATCAAAGAAGTCTGATATCATTTTGTCTTGGAAGATATTTTCTTTATTGGTCTTTGATTCCGAATACTTATATATATATATGTATATGTATATTTATATTTATGCCAAGGTTTAGGCCTGAACTGAACTATCTAAACTATCAGTTTAGTTCAGTAAATGGTGTTCAGGTCAGTAACTGCTCACAYGGGTGACAGAAGGAAAAGGTACTATTTTTGTGGGTGTTCTGTGGCCCTAACTCTGTTAAATTCACAGATGGGGGGCAAAGGGCCATTAGTTTGAGCAGGTGCTGCAGTGACTGCAGGTTGCAGGCTCCACAGAAGAACTTGTTTAGCTGATTGCCCTGAGGCCCTAGGAAGCCCAAGGTCAATAGCTTGTCTTAAATTCCCTCAAGAGGTAGTTGGRTTGGGAAGGATTGATTTTGTACTGAATTGGAGGTGGGGGTTCTGGGAATGTGCTGCCCTTCTGAATACTGCATAAGTGGAAGTATTCAGCAGCAAAGCAAGCAGCTTGTGAGAAGCAAAAAAGCAGAGTTCCCACAGTGAACAGCTAGCTACAACTCTAGCTGTCCTAGGCATTAGGATAAGGAGGATCTTATGCATCTATTTTGGAAGAGCCTAGGGAAAAACCTTAGAAGGAGCCTAAGATGAAGGATTGGGCCTTCTGAAGCCTTGTACTTAAGAGGCTGGAGTATGAGAACTGGAGTTCTCATGGAGTATGAGTGTTGTCAGAGGCAACCCACTGAGAAGATGCTTGATGGTAAGTATCAAGGGTTGTAACTCTGTTCCAGGTAATTGTGTAGTGTAGATAAAGGGTGATCTGTCTCTCCTCTTCCAGCTTGSYGGTGACCAGGAAATGTTGCAACAAKGGGCTGAGAATAAGCTTTTAATACTTGTTTCTAGCAGACAGTAACCCCAAAATAAAGAAAATGGCTTGGCAAGGGTTAGTTTTATACCTTCAGGACATTGTCTTTCATTAAAACACTAGTGAAGACCTTTTCCTTACCAAGGAGCCCATACAAGCTATTTCTTGATGATGAAAAATACCATTCTACAAACAACTCATTCTTTTTGACTCAGTAAGTCAAACTTGATTTTTCCCTCTGTACAGAAAAAGAGATTACTGGTGATGAGGGCAGTGTGTGTTAGGAATGTGCTCAGGTGATAAAGCAGCAAGATACTGCAGCCTACAGTGGCTGTGTAGTTTATTGATTTTTTTTTCCTTTTTTTATCTTAAAAGCTTCAGTATTATGTCCAAGCTTTGATATTGCGTCCTGCCTCAGTGTGAATCTGAAGCTGACTACTTCAGTGCCAAGAAGCAGAAACCCCAGCTCCTTCTCACAGGACTGATTTTATCTGGTATGCAGGGACCTCAGCTGAAGAACAAGCTGAGAAAGAAGCATCCTCACACCTGCCTGCTAGACTTCTCACTCTTGAGCCTATTATCTGGTCAGACTAGAGTTTTAACATCCATCTGCTAGAGCTAAAGCCAGACTGCCTGGCTCAGTTATTAGGATTAGGGCAAAACATCTTGTGACTTCAAGTTATGTTCTCAATTTAGTTGTCATGGGCCTTGGTGTAAACAACAACAYGAATCTGCCCTCCTTCTCTTTCCATGCTGACCATCATTTTTAGCCACATGTTGGGAGTTCAGCCGCTCGGACCCACTCGCTTGGCAGCTATGGTGCTGTTTGCTGGATAAAGCCRTGCATTATTTCTGGGTGGTTTTTGTCCCTGGCAGTTTTACTGGTAGCAGAAAGGAAAAGTAGTAACTACAAAGGCTGAGCACAAGTTAGTCCTTTGTRTGAATTTACAGCAGTTCACTAGTGGAAAGTGTTGAATTAAAGCCAACTGGAGACACCAGTGAGACTTCTGCCTTTGTGTCCCAAATGTGACACATGGACGTCGATCCTCATAACTGACCAGAGCAGATTTAAAGGCTGTACAGCTACTTTCCTGCCTGACACTGTGCAACACTTGCATGTTGAAAAATGAGTGACGTTTCTCTGTGCAGTAGCTCCTCCACAGTAAGGAATTGATGCCACGGTCTGTGTAACGGCCTATGGCATTGTTGTCTCTGGATCATGAAGGAACAGAAACCAAAAAAAGGCAGCTAAGAGCTAGGACTACAGAATCGAACTTCTTGGCCTTTGGAGTGGAATTTGGAAACATACCTTGGGTGCCTCAGCTAGATGTAACTGTGCATACAGATACCTCTATATAGACATAGATATATCTCTCCATAGAAAGATAAAGAAAGCTGGATACTTCAGAATGGGCGCTAAGACAAAAAGGATGCCCTTTGTGGAAAAGGGGCACTTGGACAGCCCAAAATATATCTTAAAGCCATCCCTATTTGGTATTTTATGCAACAGTCAGCGCAACCCTACTTATTTTGAAATACCTTTCCCCTTAAAGTTGTCCTTTTATACAAACGTTTGCAAGCTTGTCTGCTTGGTGGAGCTAGGATGTTCCTCACCCAGCCTTGGAAGGGGGACCACCAAGCGCCCCTGGATTTAAGAATCATTGGTCCGTGTGCATGGAGCACAGAAAATGGACCCAAAAAACTGCCTGGGTGCCTGACAGAAGAGGAAGTGCTGGGCCTTGGTGTTTGCCGCAAGTGTTACTTGTGTGGTTTTATGTGATAAGAGTCGGCTCCTTCGCAAAAGGCAGCAGCAGCCCTCACAGCAAAGGCCAGAACTCAGGGTCCCCTCGCTCCCATATCTTTCAGGTGGCATTTAAGCTAAAATGGATGAGAAAAAATGCATTGGGAGAGAAGACAACCCCATGCAAGGCACTCCAGCTGTGAGCCACCACAGACAGGTCTTTCCCAAAGGTCTCTCGAGCTTCTCCCTGACTCCTGCTGCTGCCACGTCACGTGCAAAATTTAGGGCAGGCACGGTTCCTTGAAACACCGTCTTCCTCATGGAAGCTGCTAGGCTGTTCCACTTAATCCCATTTAATCTGCCTGGAAGCGAGGCGCACGGCGCGGGGCTCGGCGTCCCAAGCCCTCCGYGTGGCGCGGGGCGCTGCCCGTCTCCATCCCCGCCTCGAGCGCTCGCTCCTGTCCCCGCGGCTGCACGGAGCAGCGGCTGCCGTGTCCCGTCGGGCTCGGCCAGCGTGTCCCGTCCGAGCGTGACGCGTGTCCCCGTGCGGGCTGCCACGCGTGCCACTGACAGGGTGGCCGCGGGCGACAAGGGGATGCCTGAGCCCTCCTGGGGCACGGGGCTCGCGTTAGTCAGCGCCAGGGGATGCCGGCGCCACGAGCCAGGCGGGCGAGCAAAGGCCGATGTGGCCCCGAGGGACCCTGGGGACAAGACGGGGAGCGGGGTGCAGGCGGGCCCCTCGCCGCAGGGCAGGCAGCGGGGCCCCCGGCGGCGCCTTCGGGGGCTCCTGGGCAGCGCGAGGCCGCAGCGGGCGCAGCGCCCGGTGCCCGCTCAGGGCGGGCGGCCCGCGCTCCCCGGCCGCCCCGCCCCCGCGGCCCCCAACGGTCCCCAAGGACCCCCTGAGCTCCCCCTCCCCCGGGGAGGCCGCGTGGGGGCGGAGCTAAGCGCGGAGGCCCCGCCCCGGGGAGGGGCCGAGCCGGGCGGACGCGGCACTTCCGTAAACACCGCGCGGCCCCTCCTCCCCCTCCCTCCCTCCCCCGGCAGGGCCCATGCGGCCGGGAGGGGGGAGAGGCGCCGTAAGCGGCTCCTGCTGGGAACGCGTCCTGCTCCAGGCGCGGCGCCGCGCTCCGCAGCAGCGCCCCATAACGTGCGTGACGSCACGGGAGCGGTAACGCGGGCGCTCGGGGCCAGCTCGCTGCGGGCCGGCGGCCGGGCGCTGGCGCTCCCCCCCCGGCGGGACATGGGCGCGCCCGCGGAAGCCGCGCGCCCTGCGGGCCGGGTA